TGTTTACGTTGAGACACAACAATCTTCCGAGTGTGAAGACCACAAACTAAGAAAGCTATTGAAAAAAGGCTGTTACTGTTTAGCGTTAAACCATGAGATTAAAATTAAGGCGCTCTAAAACTTTGGTTGTGTACGTTTCCAAACCTTTATTTGCATTTCGCTCATTGTCTCCCACCATTTAAGTAATGCAGCTTGACGTAACCGGCAACCCGTCAAGCTATCCCACAGCTTTTCTCCCGGCCTCCTCTTGATCGATTAATTTGAAAACAAATGCAAAATTGTGTTGGATTGCTATTTTTCAGCTACTACTCTGTGTCTGAACAAGACTATGCATTTTTATAGTATACTTTTTTTAATGAAAGTGCTAGTGTTAAACTCTTCAGGGATATTGTTAATTTGCAAAACTAATACTGGCATGTCTAAATGCATCGCTTGAAATAGGAGCGCCACGAAAAACTGTGCTCTCTGGTCTGCGTCTGTGGCTGCCGTTGACAGTGTGAGGCACGTTCTCTTCGTTTTTGTCAAGAACGAAGCTATGCCTTCAAAGTTTACATGTTAACATGCACCACTAAAATTTCTATCAAATAAAAATCGAAATATCCAGGTTTTTTCAAATGCATTCTTTTTAAACATTATCAATACTTATTGGTTTAAATCTTCCATGCAATCATATACAACAAGCATTATGAGCCTTAGGGAAAACACTGAAATTACTCTAAGGAATGCGAAATAGCAATTGCGCAAACAACAGCAAAATTATTTGAGGACCTAAAATATTCTTTCTAACAACCTTATAAAGTTTAGGATAATTATACATCTTAAACGAGCGACACCCGCTTGCTTTCGTTGATGATCACGTTTTAAAAATTGGAGATAACAAAAGCGAACAATTGCTGAAGACATTTATAACTCAATAGCTGCAAACTTACACATTGATATCAAACTGTTCAAATTGACATAATGATTTTCGCCTTTACAGAAGCGATTGATAGAGCTCCTTATCAGTGCCTCATTGAAAAACTAACAGTTATAATTTATTCATCCATAAATAATGAAATCACGAAGTTCCTCAAGAATCGTTCCCACTACACTTTCATTAACAACACGATGCCTTCTAAGTTCTCTTAAACGTCGTATAGTCAAGTAGTGAATTTTTTTAGGCCTAATATTATTTTAACATATGAATGACCTCTAGCAAATATACAATCATCCCTGTGCGTTTTTCTGGAGATGACTGCGTCATTTACATATCTATCTCAAGCCCAGATGATCAAGTTCCGGTTCAAAAGGACCAAAGCATTACCGAACAGTAGTGTCATGAGTGACAGACGACCATCAACATGAAAAAATTTAAGTTAAAAACATTCAGAGCAGTGCCACCTCATGTAACCTGGTAGCATTAACATTTGTCGCTTCACATTAGAAAAGTATTTAAGACTTCACCTCACCAGCGACATAAAATAAAACAGTACATTAAAGAAATAATTTTCAAGTCTAGCCGCACACTTACTTACTTCGCTATAGGATAATTAAAAATGTTATCCTAGACGACCCTCTAGGGTCACAACTGAATATGCATCATCAATCAAATCGCCATTTCATAGTTATCGCACTAATGAAATAAAAAGCATAAAAGTAAGGCATTAAAGGAATACTGACAGGGTATTTATGCTCGCCAAGTTTTTCTGTGAGCATGCCATATGAAGCTTAACTTCCCAGAACACAATTTGCAGGTCGAACTCTGTTTCCTTTCCGCCAAAAAAAAAAAAAAAAACGCGGATTCAAAACTGGTTAGTGTATATTTCGCTCACTCTATCCTCCGGGGTAACGTGCGGCTGTTTATGGTTTAGACACTCACACCAAGTATTATAAATGTCGTTGGTCATTGAAGGCACACACTTAATATTAAAAATAAAAAAATAGGACATTCATTTTTCTGTGGTTTCAAAAGAACTGGAAATTTGTTGATGTAAAAAAAAAAGTTGCTCAGACAACCGGAAGCACTCTGTGCATTACTTGCGTAATTCTCAACATGACGTCGCGGGCTGGACGACTGAACGAAGCGGCAGCTAAAGGCTGGTTCACAAAACCGACCAATCCGCGGACGGATTGATCACATGACGATATGTCCGCGGTTCGTCCGTCTCCTAAGCGCATCCACACGAGGGACACGACGAGCAGACGCCAGCGGGGACGGACCGAACCTGTTCGCCACCCCACAGTGCCGCGAAACTCCAACAACGCACCTTGGCGCATTTGTCCAAGAGAGAAATCGACGTTTGCTATGATGATAAAGAATCGTACGCCGTTGTTACGGACAGATGGAGACAAAACACCGTGATAGGCTTAGCGCGAAGTGCCACTAGCTTTACTAACCCAAGGCATGAGAGTGACACAGGCATGGTCCTGATCGGGAGGGGTTCGGCGTGTAGAACCGGCGACTTTCTGGGCCCGCGGAGGGACGTTTGGGTAGGCTTTCACGCACTCCGTGCTCGTGCACAACACTCAAGCACACCGTAGACAAGAGAAGTATTTTGCTCGGTAAAAACATGATTGGACGTGCAAGAATTATCGCGGCGTGCTAGACGAGTTTTGACGGGAGATTCTCGACACGGACCCGGAGGAGTACCGGAACTTACGTCGCGTCAGCCGGACAAAGTTTCTGCAGTTTCCTTCATTCTTCGAACTAAGAATCGTGCGGTAAGGGGCATAAAAAAAAAAACAGACAAAATAAAACATTGTAACTTTGTCAGAATAAATGCTTTTCAATTCAATCTCCTACCAAACATCCGCGAGTGAAAAAGGCGCTCGACTTTATCAGTTTGCGCGACCGCGGACGAGGCGTGGATCGGAGGAATCGGTGACGCGACGGTCTCACGGTACGCGGTCAGCGGAGAAAAATTGCGATTCAGTCAGTCGTGTGAATCGGCTATAAGCGGTGGCGGCGAACGACGAGCGTGGGACCTCTACTTCAGAACAGTTGTTCGCAGTACCAGCGAATCTGTCTAGCTTTGAAAGAGAAATCCTTTGCATATCGGAACAATTAGGGTTTCTTCCGTACGACACGCCCGACCACCAAGATGATTCGCAGGAAAACGTCGCCGATTCGTCGCCCCTTCTCCTGGCTGAACACACAACGCTCGTCTTACGAACAAGAATCGGCAAGAGCTTGAGAAACGCTGAAGCGTCGAACACGAAGTTCCTCACTTTTGCGATTTTCGTGCGAGGTCCGTGTTTTTCGTCTGCTTTGAACGGCCGGAAAAACGAAGGAAAGAAAAAAGAAAACGCAGTAACAGCGTGCTGAGATTATTATGTTGAAAATCGATTTGAAGTATTATAGAGGCAAACTAGTTACAGAAGAACTGAATGAAGTATCTAAACCCGGGCGTAAGGTTTATTAAGCGATTTCTGATTCAGAAAAAAAAAATGTCTGGAGTTTTAGGGGTAGTTACAGTTTCAACCTCTAACGGAGTTATGTTAAATTAACAACCGGGGCAATGACAAAGATTTAAATGGTTGGTGCAATAATTTTCTAGAAATAACTGGCAAGATAACAAACAGATGTAAAAAAATACCAGCTAGTGCAAAATTGACCTACAGAGATATAAGGCTCTTCTGGAGACATGCCTGCGATATAGCCTAGCACTGTGAAGTTAACTACAGATGACGAGCTTAAAGCTTTATCAAATGCACAAGATACTGAGGGTGATAACATACTAGACCCAATCGATGGCATATCTATTGGAGGCTCAAAACATCGTAAAGGAGATGATATGGAATTAGATTCATTTGGTAATAAATTAGATCCTGATTCGGACCTAACTTTAGAATTTGAGAAAAACGATGGTTCGTGCGGGGCGGGGATCAGCCTAGGAGTGTGGCAGTATGTAGTGTAAACGGTGATGGTAATCAGGTATTAGTTGTGGTTAATCTTGATTCCAACACAGTTTCTGTATTGCTTCGTCGAATGTATTGGTAGCTTATTAAGCTTACGAAATAATGTAGGCAGAAAGAACCTGAGAAAAAGCTTAATTCCACTCATGAGAGATTACAAGATATGAGAGGCTGGTGTAGCCACGTGACTTCCGGCAACTCTCTCTTTCTCCACGTTTCCTCTTCCTCCCCAGTCCAGATTCGATATCGGTTTCGAGCAGTTGCGTTCTTTAAACTTATTTAAAATATACGTGACGCGGTAGAAAAATACTGATTGCAGAGGTTTCTGCCAACATATTAAATCGCATGGCAAAAAGTGAAACAAAAACAACTTTGGGGTGTCAGTGTCCCTTTAAGGTGCGCTTTATATTTTTTAAGATTATCCTTCATATGGCAGCGTCACGTCATTTCGTAATTGTGCAGGCCTCCAAACACTTCCATTAAGACTTAAGCTTTCCTGACTACTCCTTCTTTATAAGATATATTATCACGCCCCGAATAGGAAAATGGTACAATTTCCAACACTCCGAACCCCATTTCCTCACAAGTTGACATTGCGAGTGAAATTAAATTCATTTGTGCTTTCTTTTTTTTGGAAATACAACACTACGGCTGGCAATTACGGAACGGAATCTCTCGCCAATTAGGGCTGTTACAAAGACAAACAAGCTAAATTTAAAAAAAAAATATATATATATGCTCACTGTCTTTTGTAATCATAGCCGTCGGACCTAAATATGTAATAAGAGCTCTAATTCTGTGTTTCTCTCACATATATGCCCGTACGTGCATCGTTTTTAGAGTTTTTGTTATGTATTAGAGAATTTAACAATTGTATTTTTTTAAATTACGTCGGCTTGCCTTGCGGCATAGGTTCAAATCTAATAGTTCATTACCATTTCCTGGAAGAAGAATTGAAATAATTATTGTGTAATAAGCCGCGATATGCCCTCAAGGGATATTATATATATAAATATATATATATAAACACTTTTTTTTAGTTCAGAAGGTCTCTAGGACAAGGAGTGGAAAGTAATATTTTAAAAATGCGCTAAACACAATCTTACCACATTGAGTACAGTGTTCTCACTTTCTTCAGTAATATGGTTGCATGGCTCCGTGCAGTTACAAAATGTATACGGTGTTCTGCTCTCTGTAGTGGATATCAGGGACACGTTCAACTTGTAGCATGGCTGTAGGCTGTCGGCAAAGATAATACGAGCCGCGCACGTTAGCAGATACGATAAGGGAGAAATATGCGACAGCAAAGTTTATTAATTACGAACTGCCATGCTATACGAACTGCCTGCGACCTATTGCTTCAACCTCCCGTTGCCGAAGGGCCTCCACCTGTTGTGGACTGAGACGTTTTAGATCGCGATCTGCTCGCGCCTCCCGACAGCCGAGCGTGCGCTCTCGTGAAGTGGCCGCGCTGCGCTGTGCTCGGCCGTGCAACCACTCCGGAGTCTGCGCGTGCGGGTTCTGGTGGCTTCGCGGCCAGCCGCTTTATCTTAGGGGCGGCCGGTCCGCAGCGCTGCCATGGAGAGGGCTTCTCTGGGGGCGTTCCATTGAAATACGCCGCGCGAGAGCCAATCGGAGCCACGTTCCTTGAAACTATGACACGCGCCAGGCAATGGGAGCCTATCTATCACATTTCTGCTACAGACGACAGGCTTGGCTGCTACAGGCGACTGGCTTCAAATGCTGATGATGTCGGTGCGCACCTGGGAGGGTTAATGCTATCGAATTAAAAAACATAAACACACAAACAAACAATGAATGCATTTGGTTAGAGCGGAGCACGGCACAGAAGATAGCAATACTGGAAATTGCGTGAAGGCGCCTCGCAGAAAAAAGAAAAAGCGCGCGCTCGAGGTAGCGTTCTTCGCATGCGACGCGATGGCAGTGCGCCATCGCAGAAGTTGAAGCAGGTTGAACCGTAGACGGTAACGTTTTTCTGACGGGCCCAGCTTAACCGGCGTGACGCAGCAGACTTCAGTGAGCGCTGGTGTGTGCGTGGGAAACCTCGCACTAGAACAGCGCCTTGACGTTTGTATAAAAATACGACCCGCCTGAAATTTCAACCCGCTGGAAAATCTCAAAACTTTTTAGAATTTAGTTCTTTATTTAGAGCAGTAAGCATAAAAGTTTCGAACCTCTTCGTTTCCACGTTGCTTCAAGATTTACAATAGCGCTTCTCCACGGCATGAAGTTACATGAATGGTGGAAAATGTGAATCTTTATAAAATTTAAAAAAAAAATTGTTATTTTTCTAAAGGGAACATTCTATAAACTTGTTTTCAAAATCGATGTTTTTAACACTTGATAGTAAATTTAAATACAGCTTAATGTTCTTGTTTTGAGAATATAATTTTTGTATATACTCTGCGATTTCAACTCAACTTGAATTAATAGATTGGCGCAGCAATATACTTAAATTGAATTGTAATTTCAGATAGCAATTTTGTGATTATTTTCTGGACCTTTTGATAGTTCATTTCGCAGAAATTGTGCGACTTTGATTCGCCAACGTAAAAATACCAGTATTACATGTGCGAACAAGACGCCTAGTCTCGTGTATTTGTGAAGACCAGTTTTTGAGATGGGTCGTTGAATCTGCACCTGTCATTGCACTCGTCTCTTTCACTCTATTTGATGATTCTTAAAGGGACCATGAAATGACTTTTTTACTTTTTCCACATAACTTTTACAATAAACCGTGAATGTTCACTGAATGCCGAACAGGCATTCGTTTTCGTCTCGGTTTATTAACTTCTACACAAAAAATTAATGAAATATCGACTTTTTCTTGACCGCAAAACAAGCCGTGACGTACGATGTTTCCGGAACCGGAAGTTCTCTCTGCAGTAGGAGAATGGGAGTGTTAGCGGCAACGAGTTGGGGTGCGCCGGTGGGTTTTACTGCGCCGATGTCACCGACGTATTTTCTGAATCGGCGCCTCTCATTGCCGCATCGCAGCTGAACGAAATTCAATGAGATACGTTGCGCTACAGCGACAGCATGGAACTAGTCCCATACGCCGGTATGCCTGTTGGGAAGTGCAGATGGGAACAATTTGCCGCGGCGTTTTTCGCGGTCTCGGAGATGCAGGAGCGAGCCGACGTTAAAAAAGATACGTTTGAACTGCCAGCAAGAGCCACGTAAATACCTGTTCACACTCGGAGCGGACGCGCGCGCGTTTGATGAAGTGCTGTATTCGCGCTGTTGGTAAGCGCTTCGGGACCGATCTTTTACAATTGCAACTCGATACTGACGCGACACTCGGCAAAGAAAGGTTGGACCGGTATTGCACGTATACCTCCCACGAACTGTTACAGCTCGACAGTGATGTGCACTCTGTCAGAATACAAATGGCATACCAATAACAAAGTGTACATACCGTGCTACGAAGGTAATCCATACAGCGTTTATTTCAGCTCTATATCACACAAAACAAGGAGAGGATCGACGAGGGTCCCTTTTCGACGAGTGTTCGTCAACACTGCCTCGGAAAACAAGGGGAAGAGATTGACCTCACCTCTTAACCTAAAATTGAGGTCAGCGATCAAACTATAATACGGAAGGGTCCACAAGGGTAGCGCGGGCATATTGCATTCAGTACGCCAGCCGGTCGTAGGCAGACGGTCTTGCGACGAAGCAACGCTGCGCCGAGTCGGAGTGCCTGCTAGGCCTATATTCTGAGAGTTTCGTCGGAGCGGGATTCGCGGCTGTTGTCGCTCTTCTCGGGTGTTTGTGGATCCAGCGTTCTTGTTCGTCGTGGTTTGTTTTAAGTACATTTCTTTCTTGCTGCTTGAAGTCGGCACCCGCGAGATGAACACGTAGAAAAATAAACGTTCAGTCAGTCAGAGTTTTGAGAGGAAGGAAACCAAAGAAAATAACCGTTCTGAACTTGGCCCTGCCCTACTGCGCACGCGCAGTAGTTGCTTCGTTTACCACACGATAGATGGCGCTTGGCTCTCAGCATTGTCAAATTTGGCAATTTTCGCCACACATCTCTAATTATGCTACAAAATGTGGATCTGAATATTATTTAACAAAACTTTTAGGAAACATTCGCCGGCTATTTATTGTTTACGATCGCGGTGCTGGTGAGGTAGGCTCTTACCCAATAGGCGATGTGGATTCGGCTGACGTGCACCGATTCTGCGTATGCATCGTAGTGAAAAGGCAGAGCTTTCGAAGGAAAGAAGTCGCAAAAGAGTCCAGTTTTCTTTTAAAAGTTCTATAGCAAATAATTTTTTTTGGCTCCCTAGTCTTGTGTTTTTGTTTTCCTTTTCACACCTTTTACGACGTGCGGTGGATGAAATTCGATTTTAAAATCATTTCATGGTCCCTTTAAAGAAATCGAGGAAAAGGCGGGCCACTACGAAAAATAAACCATGCAAAACAATGTAGCTTTATCTGCACTGTAGAAGTTAAACTGATTCGATCTAAGAAATTTCGACTGGGTCAAAATTCAACAGATAGCGACCCATCATGGCGCGCACATGTCACTAACATTATCTCATCAGGAAATAAAAGTTTAGGATTTCTCAAACGCCATCTACGTACCGCTCCTCAAAGCATAAAACTGCTAGCATACAAATCACTCGTAAGGTCAAAGCTGGAATACGCATCCCCCATCTGGAGCCCGCACCAAGCCTATCTCAGGTATGCACTCGAACAGGTTCAGAACCGCGCCACCAGATTCATCCACTCATCTTACTCGTACAAAGTTAGTATCTCATCCTTAAAAGCTGAATCGGGCCTTTTAGACCTCACCTCTCGTCGCCAAACTGCTAGCTTATGTCTATTTCACAAGTTTTTCTATTCTCCGCTCCATAACGCGCCCTACATTGTACCGCACGCCCACATCTCTCTCCGAACAGGTCACCCATTGCAGGTCACCCGTCACCGCACTCGAACTGCCACTTTTTTCAATTCCTTCTTCCCCCGTACTGCAATAGACTGGAACGGCCTTCCCGGCGATGTTGCTACGATCACCTGCCCATTAAGGTTTGCTGGAACTGTGTCAACCATCAATCCAGCGTAACAACCTATTGTACAAGTTATTGTTTTTTTATATTCTCCCACCCCTTATGTAACACCCCTCCCGAAGGGGTCTTTAAGGAAATAAAGTGAAAGTGAAGAGCCGTACTGGTTCACGAAGTTACCTTAGACTCCATATTGTTCCCGTCTCTGTCAACAATTATTTAAGGTTTAGAACAAGTAACGGAATTCGGATAGCGACAGCTCTGGCAAAATGTCTATAGAATAAAAATCTGTCAAGAAGTGAATGTAAGATTTATTGGCGGACAAACTTATTAATATCTTAAGAAAATATGCATTCTCTTGAACTAGGTTTTTATTTTAGAACCCTAATTTTACAAGAAAATGCATGAAATCGGCGTGACACAAGTCCTGCAATTTGAATTGGTCATTTGCTAACAGCGATATTGAAATTGAAACAAGCGTAGTTAAACAGAATTTTTGGAGCGTTAAATTAGTAACTGATTAACACATACAAAAGCATTGCAACAAAAACGAGCATATTACCTAAGAGACATCTGAATCTGCTCGTCCCACGAATCTTTGCTGCATTCTGAGAAGGTTGGATACTGGGTGGGTTCACCATTTCTGCTCATCACATGACCATCCTGAGGAGTACAGCCCTCCTTATTCCTATCATCGTCCCAGTCAACTCCCAACCTGTAAATAAAACACAGGAAAGTACATGTTACCATGCCGACTCAAAAATAATCGCGCCTTATGACGAAATTTTTTATATGGTAAAAGTGACCCTTGCAGACTACAGAAAGTGTTACAGGTTACGTTTAAATGACGAGCGATGCTCACGAGGAGTTTATTGTTTAAACTTGTGAATGAAATGTATCACTTTTTGAAGTGATCAAGCATAATATGGGTGCTAAAATACGTACCATTTCAAAAGAACCAGTAATAATGATGTCAGTTCAGCCTAGTTTTTGTAGAGAGCAGTCGTTTTGACTTGACAAGCTGCTCAACATAATGCAGATTGTGTCTCTTCAAATAAGATATATAAACAAATACAATTTTGGGTTTCTGCCGGTTCAATCCTTGATTACACTTTCGCACATAAAGCGAATAGTTCATAACGCCGAGCGTGTCTCCTCAGCTATGTGGATTCAATTATTATGTTCCTTCATGTCTAGTATCTTCTATCATTTTGTGAAAAATATTTAGGGAATTTGAAAGGTAGTAGCTTGTAGTGATCTTAATAGTATTTACTTCATGTTTACTTCCTAAAAACTTAAATACAAACCTGCAAATATTTTTTTCTTATAGTTATATTCATATTCACTTTATTCTTTATGCGAATGGGTATTTTTGAGAATACTTTAGAGATTATTGAGGTGGAGTGACATGGGATTTAATATTTGCGAGATTAATGCTAAATTAATATTAAGCTTTATTTAAGGAGCCCAAAAATAAACACAAGGGTATCTTGATTGGTGTACCTCCCCAAGACACTATAAGAGGAATCTATAGAAAAGATATTGACTCACAAGTTGGCGATTTGTTGAACTGCAGCGGGAACGCCCGAAAATGACTTGCCGTCATCCGAGCTGAGTGCCACCCTCCGTCTCGAACACACCCCGAAGGCGTAAGACGCGGCTGCGGAAATACGGAGATGGCAGAACATTGTATACATCTCTGCACAGAGATCCCAGACTCTGCATAGCAACTTACGCATATGAAACATTCCAATAACATTTGTTTTTAGAAAATCAATTAAGATTAATCAATCTTCGTAGATTGCTATGCGAATTACGAAAATGCATATTCGTCACTAGTTTCTACGGTCAATAATTATTTTCCATATGACGATTACTGTTTAACCTGTAAAGGACAACTCAGGTTCGCTTTCTTATTGTCATGTTCGCGCTACACTTCAATGTTTCCCTTCTTTGCCCGTCTGCCCGTGATTAATTAGACGTTTTACGCAACACATCTAGACGGACATATGCTAGCGGTCTATTTTTGTGAAAGCACGAATTCGAGAAAATATTTATCTTATATTCTGCTATCTAGAAGTCATAACTAATGCTATTTTTTATGTATTTATATATTTATATTTTCCCTAAGCCAACCGAGTGCTGTACATTACACTGTTGCTGACTCAAGGTGTTATTTAAGTTTCGGTATATGTTGCGGATTGAAAATATTATATATCTTTCGAAGATTTGTATGTTTTTCTGACCTTTCGTTTACAGCCCTGGCGAGTGCAAAGCGAAGAGTGTAAGGTCAGAGAGTTGCACGCCGAGTTTCTGACACCCTTAGTTTATTATAAAGAATTAACAATTTTCTCCTCAGCTTTGATCGAGACACGCAAAATAATATTTTTACTGGGGTAACCCCGGAGAGTTGCTGGTCTGATTACTGAAGGTAGAATAAAATGGCCGCCGTAAGCGTCATTTTTTTTTCTCTTTTTATAATACGGTCAGATATCTTTTTCTTCTTAACGCTCCTGTTGAATGCGGCCGCCACCGTTGTTTCCCTCGGGGCACAGTGAATGAAGATGACGCTCTCATTGCCAAAGAACATGGCTACCCTAATTGTGCTGTGCGTGGGCGGTACAGCAAAACTCCGTTTTTAATTGGGAGTAGCAGTGCTTGCATTGCTGCGATTGACGTTTTGTTGCGAGTTTAAAGAAACGGCGTCCAACTGTTTTGTTGTGCTGACAATTGATACAATTAAACCACCATTTATGCCCTAATCAAGCGAAAAAAATTGCGTGTGCACACATGCACAGAAAAAAAAAGCTGCGGCTCTTTGAATATTGTAGTTCCTGAAACATTGTTAAGATCGATTATCGTAACGAGGCTGTGATGACTATAGATATTTTGCTTTGTTCCGAACTTATTTCTAATAAAATTTCATATACATTAAGAGGCTTCACACCTAATTATTTAATAATGAATTAACTAATTATTTCGTATACCACCGAGGAAAAAGCATTTTAAACGAGAGTAGGAACTTGGAATATCAATGAAAGTGGTTGCATAGGTTCACAGATGTAGTGCTGAACGTAGGCACGTATGTAAATGGAAGATCCTAATATCTACCCTCACGATCCAGGGAAAATGAAATAGAAACGGATGAGCGGTGTTCGTATTTACGCGCTGCTTCGGTTTGGTGGATGGCTTGACCTACTTCGTGAAAGTCTTTTGAAATGTACGTAAAACTCAACAACTGTGCGACGATAATGTTAGAGTGCAAAATAATATGTTCACAAACGCTCTGCGACATTGTATAGTATGCCTTTTTTATAAAGCATTTCTTACCTTTCATCTCCCGTCGGTACGCCATGACAAAGTCGGAAATTTTGTGACTGAAAGTAGTTCTCTCCGTTATTGCGCTCTGACACACTAACGCACAAAAAGGCACACCTACCTTGTTATCAAATAAACGACATCACTATTGTTAAAGAAACTTTGATTAGTTGCCCATTCCCTGAACATTCCGAGAGTTAGGTGAGGATCCAGAGACCTTCCACTGCTTTTGGTAGTGTTTTTAAATATCTCGAATATTGATTCGTCTTCAGCCTATGAATAAAAATAAAGGACGGAGTAATCATAATATTGAATACATAAACAATTGCTACAAAATCATACATTTTTTATTTTCAACTTAGACTTTATAAACGCATATCAATTAAGAAATTTAGATACAGATGGGTCTTTAACTACCAATCTAAACATTCCAACGAGCGAAGATTTGATTGCGCTCACATATAAAATGATTTAGACAGAATTAAACGTAGTTTGTCGTCAAGCGACTACTATTCTAAACTCCTGCCCTCTATTTTTTTGGTCTGCTTTTTTGAAACCAAAAGCCGTAACTGCGTAGTTTCAGCCGAAGAGCACGACCTCAAGCATCAGTTGTTGATCAGTTGCATTCATGACTTTTCCCCAATCTGTGCACGAATGGGGCATTAAAAAAACAAAACAAAAAAACAAAAACATTAAACACACTACATCGCGTAATGTGGTTTTAATTTGTTTTATTGACTGTCTCTAGAACGGATAATACTTATTTAAAGATGACAACTAAACAAGCGAGTTGAAATCAAAAGGAAATCTACAGAGCGGTTTATATACATTTTCTTGTGAATACCCACGCTAAAAACTCTCTCTCTCTCTCTCTCTTATATATATATATATATATATATATATATATATATATATATATAGAGAGAGAGAGAGAGAGAGAGAGAGAGAGAGAGAGAGAGATGTAGCATGAATATCGCAGTTTATCAAAAATATTAGACGCAGTTTTATTAATATTTTTTACTGCAACTAAAGATGTTACGTTAGCACTCACCAAGTTCCCCTTTGTAATAAAACAGTTACCCGCGCGTTTTATTAATTTTGCCTCTAAGGAAAGAGCATGCTTTCCTTAAAGGACGAGGCCAGATCTGATGTGACCCTGTCAACGAGGCGGTGGATTGTTGGAACGCATAATCGGATTCTGTGGACGATAAATATCTCGTCCGTGAAATATTTTTTTAACTTTTTGAAGTGAACGTGGTGTTACTTCGATTTGACCACATGATTGCCATCATCAAATTTAGGTTTTTTGGCAGGTCCAGGAAGAGGGAACATGCGAAGGAGAAATGCGGACCGGTTCTATACTCGTTGACCACGCATACTCGACTCATTACGGTTCGTTGTATACGTTAAGCTAGCGCAGCTTTTGGCTACGAATACACAAAATGTAGCTTAACAGCATTTTTTACGAGAAAAGACCTCACTAATTGCCCGTAAAATTTAGGACCATGGTCTGTGCATAAAACTTGGTTTTTTTCATCTTACGAAACTATATTTTAAGCCCTCTCGCAACCTTTTGCCCAGTTTTATTATTTTTTTTTAGAAATTGGGACTGCAAAAAGAAATCACGAAAACGTGCCGATTACAATTAAAATGTACCTATCCCGATCGTAATACTTGTTCAATTCTTCTTTTAATTTCCACAAGGTGTGCTTGATACACGTCTCTGAGGCCCATGGACAATCGTTTGCGGTATAATCGAAGACATTTAGTTTGCCTGAACAAGGTGTACGTCTCAGAGCCTTCTAAAAACGTTTCCACTATTCTCAGTTTTGTGTGTCGCGTGGGTCTATTGACTCCAACAAAGGATGCACGATGACTGGCTCTGTAGTAGACAGCATTGCTCCTCCTTTTGGCGATGCACCATGCTTTATTCTTTGACCTCGGGTGATATGAGCGAGCTCGAAACGTGAAAGATCCAGGTAGCAATTGATTACGACAGAAATGGCACCTCTCAACCAGAGAGGTGTTCGGTTGTAAAGCTCGTAAGGTATTAGATTGATGATGTTGGATTCTTCGACCAACTTTCCATCTGAGGTGCACGCAAACACGGAAAAAATGGCCTTCAAGAGGGCCTTGACCTCCTTTCTTAGGTGGTGATGAAAAGTAGAGAAAATTTTATCGTGGACAGAGTAATCTTTTGGGTCGTCTAAAAATTTTTTCCATGCCTTTTCGGCAAGACGTTTGGACAGCCAGAGAGCAGCAGTACCAACAGTGAAGGCTGGCAGCGGTGGCGGTGGTGGCGGCGGCGGCGGCGTTGAGGATCCGGTGTTCTGCTTTGGTGAAACTTCATGAAGACGCTTCGGTGAAGTGGGCGAAGAGGATGATATCGCTGAATGACTCGATTGTGCTCTGGCCACCCTTCTTTTTAAAACGGTCATAACTTACTATGCTCATTGACGGATTTTGCTTGAGCAACAGCGTCGCGACACGATCGAAATGGGTGGGAACAAGCAAACGTTTTTCCCGTGAGATTAAATAGTGAATCAAATCCACGATATTCAAATCGTGAAGGGGGTTGTCCTCTATTATAGTGTCTAAGGTGTGTGGATTTCACGTCAGCACACTTTTCAGCAACTTTAGAAGCAATTGCCCTTTCTCTCTGAACGTTTTACTCCGATAATTGGTCACGGCAGTAACGTCGTGGCCACCCTGCTCGTTTTTTTTTCCGCGATAACTGTTCTCGCGTGAGGGAAGACGGCATGAGGCCTTCATTGCTGCCGTTGTCGTCAGGGTCATGAACCTCAATATTGCCCAAACCGTAGGGACGCAAACGTTTTTGAAGTGTCTGCATGATGTTTTTTTTCTTTTTCTCTTTTTTGTAATCCGGTTATAATTCTGATCATTTAAGATGTCGGGAATTCGCTCTCTATAAGGTACGAGGTGGTATTTTTTTCGCTTTTCAGACACTGAATGCATTGGTGATAGCTCTTCTTTCCAGGATTTAAATGAGACCTAGCAGGGTCGGAAGGACTAAAAGAAAAAAACCTCACTGAGGTATCAACGTTTTTCTTAAATTCATGTGAGAATTTTTCTCAATTGACCTGTGTATTGCGTGTCATATACCTGTTAGCTAACAGTAATTGTACGCTAGCAAAAACTTAAGATAAACTTCCAAAACAGACTTGTGCATTAAAATGTGCTCTTAGGAGTTTGATTTTGTGAGGATCCATAGTCTTTTTTATGGGATGGAGTTTGAACGTAAATTGTAGCCCGAAATGTGTTTGTTTATACTTACGGTCGAATTTACAACTTGTATTAAGACATGCTTGACGTTGGAGCATCTCAGTTCCGCAAAATATAGGTTTACCTGGAATAAAGAATTTTTCCTACATATTTATGAATAATTTCCTCTGGCGGATGATGCTAAATAGTCGTTAAAAATTGAAATTGTGCTTCGTTTGAGCTGCTGTGCATCAAGCTACTGAAATACGATAGCGAACTGAGTTTACTTGTTAATAAATACAAGGCGTGTGATTTTTAATTCCAACAGATTTATGAGGTAAAGCTGCACTAATGTGGTTCTGCGCAGATGAGTAACAAGGTCAGGGGGTTTATATAAATGGCTAAGCCTCCATATACCTTGAAAAATAGGGTAAATACGTTATATAATCGTTCAATGATGGAAAATGAAGATATGGTTATATCTAGAAACTTTAACATCACCGAAACCCCAAAATCAGTTAGCTCTTGATCGATCTGAAGCACTTGAGGAGAGCAGAGATGTACTGGAACAGGTGCAGAGCTGGCGATTGGAAAACGCAGACTTTGTTTCATTTCGTTTATTTTTCCTCAAGGCCCGTAGGCATTACAGAGAGGAGTGAGTTTTAACAAAAGAATATATGAGTATATGGACGAACAAGGCAAAATAGGAATGACTAAGGAACAACAAGACATTTAGTAAGAGCAATGTTACAATCAACAGCACCAGTGATCGAGACTATGGGCGCGGGAAGGCGATTTCAGACTACTGAGGTTTGGGGTAAAAGAGAGAAATTAAACGAACGGAGGTTGCAATGGGGGATGCCTATCTATAACTGGTGATTGTTCGTGATGATATGTAAGATAATTCTATAAACAATGTTTCACGAAGTGTGTGATCAGAGTGATAAATCTCGTAACAAAGACATTAACGAAATAATTTTTGTTATGAAAAGAGCGTTCGAACTTTTCAGAGTGGCGAGAACACCGCAAAAGGGAGCAAGCACGCGGCCAGCTCATTGGAGCTGCGACGACCACGGCCGCTTGATCACGAGCTGTGCACTACAACGAGAGGAGAAGGCAGAAGAAAATTGCTACAGAACGACATAGACATTTCCGTAACTTATGTCCGACAATTAAAGTAGTTTGTTTTATTACATCAAAGCGTCATCCTCAAACAAAAAATATACGCTAAAGAGTGTTTAAGCAAGGATAAATATGCTTTCATTGAGGCAACGCTGACTGTGTAATGATAGCTAAAAAAAAAACTAAAAAAAAAACGAGCGGCGCGATTTTGAATGTTCTTAACAGCAGGCGCCAGGGTGATACCAGGGTTTCAGACAAAAGCTGCATATTTAGGGTTATAGCGAGCTAAAGTTTTGTACAAAAGATGCTTCAGAGGCGCAGGTGTTAGTGAAATGTTTGCTTTGAGATAACCCAAACTCCGTTTCACCTGATCTGGTACCGCAGAAGCGCGAGCTCATGGCGTTGGGAGCTGCTTTTAATGCGCGAGAGCTTGAGCCGCCGTGATGTGCCCTGGGGCAAAGAGCTTGCGCTTGAGGTCGTTTCTGAAGTACATCATAAGGTGAAACAGAGTATAGTAGATTGATAAGCACTTTTAGTGACATATTCGACAAGAATATTTCAGAATGGAATATTGGCTAAGCGAACACCAAGATATTTATAGGAACAAACAGAAATAAGAATTGTATTATTGATTTAGTAGAAAGAACACGTTCTATGTTGACGGGACACTTTCATAGATCTCTTTATAGAAATGTTAAGTCCCTTAAACCAATCTGCACACCAGTGAGCGACATTATTATAAGTTTGAAGGACGTTGGTGTCAGACTCGTTAAGAATTTCCTTGTAAATAACACAACCATCACCATACTGGCTTATTGAAGAGGAGACACGTGCAATACGGCCGTTGATATCAATAGGAAATAAGAGTTCGACCACCACTACCTTTGCGCGTTTTGCGCGAGTTTTAACGCTGGTGTACCCCCGCTCTCCTCACGTGCTCAAGGTGTTCTAAAATCAACTGATTTAGTGGTTTAAATGACCTTAGCAAGCGTCTAATGATACCATACCTGTATGTTCACTAATTAATACGATATATAGAGTATTCAAGTTAATTATTCGGCTTACTATGAGGACTATCTTGCTATATTAGGTTTATGCAATTTAGAGCCGAAATACCCGGACTCTGGCCAAAGAATATGAAGTTTGGTTAAGCCGTGAAGGTTTGGGTTTTAATGACTCTAAATTAACCGACAAAAATCAAATCTTGGTCTAGAAAGCTGTGTTACCTGGACCATGGCATTGCTTACTGTTTTTAGAACAGGCATTTTCTCACGAAGCAAAAACGGCTCCCGGAAGTAATTTTTTATAATAAATGCTTTATAATAAATGTGAGAAGAATTGTGTAGCCTTTTACGATAAGATAGGGTAAACTGCAAGGAGCACTTAGATTAACTAAACTAACATTAAAGTTTAAAGAAACGAAACAAAAAATCATCATCTCATTTTCCTAGCTGCATAAGCTGAATAGTAGGCGCCAAAATGTCCACGAAACAATCTTGATGGAGCGAGACCAGCGCCCGCAGCAGGCTAGGTTGCTCGGTGAACATGGGCATGATAATTCGGACGACACCTTACACGTCCACTTCCACATAGGTGTAGGCTAGAAGGTGCCCGGTAAAATTAAAACACAGCGGGCAGCCATACAATATTCAACTCTGTTTATTTTACATCTTTCCTTTTAAACGTTTGGTGCCAGAATATGATCGGTCGAAGCGGAGCTTTTAATGTACGCGTATAGGGTAGGTAAGGACTACTAAATGCACCGTCATAACATATGGTAAATATAATAACGTGCTTTATATTTGTTCAAGAAACATACCATCATCTATACAAAGTATGTAAGTTGTATGTGAGTTCTTATGTCACCCCATGTGTTCCGATAAATGTCCTGAAAACCTTCCTATAATTTCGTTTTCACTGGAAACTCAATAATATAAGCAGTCCCACGACAAAGTTCCGCAGTGCCGTCTTATTAGAAAGTAATGGCTCTCGGCAGACATAAATGTTTGTAATGAATTGGATTCAAAACTTTCCCCCAAGAGGAACGCACGATGTTATAAAATAATATTTGCTTTTCACAGAATATGGTACAATCAGGAGTACCGCAGGGAAGAGTGCTGGGATCGTTATTATTTAACTTACAGAAACATACATTGAGGTCTTAACTCGCCTTACAGATTATCTGGTGATATCCTTTTGGTGTATATATTTTGGCTCTTTGCAAGGCGATGTGTTTAGTGTTTTAGCGGTGCTGTCAAGATTAGGAAATAAACATAAACTTAAAAAAAAATTTCTCATCCTCAGTGCACAGAAATAGTATCCAGTTAGTTTTTTATTTTCTAGCGTGTAGAGTGAATCTCAGAGCCCATATTTATTTATATATTTTGTTTAATGTTAATACCCTCGAAGCCCATGGGGTATTACGAAGAAAGAAAACATACACATTTGCGCTGAAAAAAATATTAATAAAATGTAGTGCAAGACAAACAATGCAAGGCCAAGATCATAAAGTATTTTAAAAATAACGCAGGTGATATATGAATCATCTGGCGTCTTAAAGATTTAAATGTAAAATTGGATCTTGGATAGAATGGTCGCCAACATACATAAAATAAATAACATATAGTCAGAGGTTCGAGAGCTTGTAAAACAGTGTTGGTATGCGACTTATTTTAAACAGATCTACACTATCGCTTTCTACTATATCCATCGGTATCATGTTTCAATTTGATAATATTCTAAAAAGGAATGAGTACTTAGGAAATCGTTGTTAGCCTTCAAATTAAATTTTGCTTGAAATACCGCTTCTAAGAAACGTAGATAAGCGGGCTCTCATATAGCGATTTCAGTTGATTTTAAGCATGCCAATCTTGAGCATACAGAAAACTAATTGAGCTCATTTTGACGGTTAGAAAGAAGCGGGACGGTATTCAGTAGTCTAACCATGTGTAAAGTTCACATTGGTTATCTATCCACACAATTTTTGCTGAAGAAAAAATTAAACAAGTGAAGCCTTTTAAAACTCGCTTTGAATAGAAATTTGAAATAAAACTGTTAGACAAAAAAGGAAAACAAAAAAAAAAGCTCGAGCTACACCTAAGCACTTCTTACGAGTTGTGAATGTGAAAGCAACGCACGCCGCTCTTCGCTCCCTTCTTTAATCTGCAGCGTACAACGCGCTGACCTTGGGCATGGAACGGTGAAGCCGCTGCCTCTTGGACACGCAGCGCCATCGGGTGAGCGATCTTCCTAACTGTTATGTGCCTTGCGGCGCGAGGAAGGAAAGGCAGCAACGTAGGTCCCAGCAGACCGAACCCCTTGGTTAATTTTCAGTGCCGCATATATTGCCACGTGCGTACAACCGATAAGAGGCGAGCGAACCCGGTGATTACTGATAACGCAAGAGTGTGAAAATACAGTCAGGATGACACCACCCAAAACTGACACGCAGCGGCCAATGGAAGCCTCGTCGACTCGTGCCAGCCAATGGGACCAAAGCGTAAAAGGTGCCGTTGGCTAGCTTTGCACCTGGTTTACTTAAGGTGCCGTTTTGTATGGTTTCTAAGCTGATGATATCGGCTCGCTCCATGAGACAGTTAATGCTTTCGCAGTAAAACAAGCAGTTCATCATGTAAGCTAATAATATTGTGTAAATTTATAAAAAAAAATTCTAAATAGAACAAAACCTGGACACCTTCTTTGATCTTCGACTTTTCAGATCAGAAAGTACACCTGACAATCAATTGTCAATGAACGATAAAAGTGGTCGTTCTTCTTTTTTTAGCTGTTTCTATAAAAAAGCAAGGGTGTCTGCGGACAGCGAAAGGTTTTGCCAAGATACAATAAGACTCGAAAAGGAAGTAGAAAACGTCTATCTAAGTGGACGAAAAGAACTAACGGCCGAAGCTTTGTTGAAACAAAACCCTACCAGGCTTACAAATTGTGTCTTAATAAAACGCAAAGTACCCATATTTAAAGGAATGCGCCATCACTCAGGCTAGCTTGTGATCCCAGTCTATGTAAAGCATACCTACATGATAGTACGGAGAAAAAAGTGCTGGACTTTGAATCACGTCAATATGCTGCGTGCCAGGGAAATAATTCCTATTGAAAAGCAACGCACGTGTTGGTGAACAACGAAAACAACTGTCTTAGTTTTGACTGCGGTTTCACTATCTAAATTTCATTCTTTATCCCATTAAAAAAAAAAAGACAAAATAAGCAGGCTTTGGTACAAAGATCGATCCTCTCTGTTTATAGCTTCAAAACCTGATACATAGCCTAAGGAGTGAAACGTAGAAGATTAAAATAAGAATACGTTCTTTATTTGAAGCAGTCCTCATATTTGCCTCCTTATGAAATGTCGTGCTTGGTATAGTCGCGTGTTCAGTGTTTTATTTTGCTCGTTCTCACACTCGAGCTCAAGCATCAGGCCTCCGGATTCAGCAGGAGATAAAGAACATTATGCTGATAATTTCAAGTTGGTGTTTGATAGAAAACCGAATTTATATTTCTCCCGTTTGTCAGGGGCTACTTACCGTGTCCACTAAAGTTTGTAAGTACAAATGCTGATCGTAACCAGTTTCAGCTTGTGCATTTTTAAAAGCCGTATCGGCTACAATTGTTATTCCCATGTGGTGGGGATGCGCTGAAATTAGGGAATGTCAAAAATTCCAAAAATTATTCACCAAAAATAGGTTGATATTTGGCAGTTCGAAATGCATCAAGATTAAAGAAGAGGTGTTAAGGAAAATGAAACTTCTTGATTACATTTTAGCTCAGAACCCTTTAAATGTATTTGCTTCTTGTTCTTGCAGCTTTTTTACCTGGTAGGTTTTGTTAATTAGTACATATAACTGAAAGCTCTTTTTCTCTTCTAAGTAGTGTCCCCAGTCAAATTAGAACGAACGTAAAGTGCAGCCCCTGCAAGCGTTTATGAGCGTCGAGATTTTCAAGAGGTAACTTTCAAAGACCATAAAATATTTTCCCCTATCTTTGGATATAGTAACTCCAGTTCATGCTTAATATACATTTTACCCAGAACAGAATATTTTTTCGCCGACTAATGTATAAATAAAACAATCATGAATGCCCAGGTTTGCTTTTTTATCAACTCAACAGACAAACAAGAAATGACGCGAATCGTGATTCATAGTTTCAATCATATAGTTTCAATAGAATAGAGGTTTCCTAAGTTGTTCGAGGTTTAGCTGTTATCAGTCCGTGTTCCTTGCGCCTTGTGGCATGGGTATTACTTAAAGCAAGAAGCTGCGGAGCTTCTTGAAAAAAAAATGAGTTAAAAGATTATTCTAGTGTATTCTTACCCCGGGAATTCGAATATCCAAACCATTTACTGCGCAAGTATTGTTAAAGGCGAGAAAACGCGAAATACAGTCGCTGTAAGTGACGTCATCGACGGATCTTTTGGCTGCTCAAGGCTAGGGAGGCGGGGCTTCAGCCCTATTTTGAAATTGCTCTGATGGCTTTTAGGCGTGTCGAAATGAAATATAATTGTGATATCTGTTATTCTAGAGGAAATGAATGCAATTCAACTGTTTTTTCTCGAGTGCAGAGGTGCGCCATCTTCCCATTAAAGCCTTTATAGTATAATCTGTATTATTTAGCTGTTTGCAGAATCTTGTCTAAACATTTTTAGCGTTTATAGAATTTCTCACAAGATAACATAGTATAATTTTTTCAATAGCACTCCGCAGTCTGGTAAAGAGGTGTCCATATCACAAAAATATATTGCAAAATGCATGAGTCAGAAGCAAATTCTCCGAACGAACACTAAGCAAATCGCACACTAAGCGAATAACTGATGTCAGGCCACATCTCAAACTAACCCAGAAAACTTCTTTTTAATTTCAATGAACCTATGGTAACGTATAATATTGCATAAGAACTTATGTGCACCTTATACGTGCCGTCTAAATGTCTTAATAGGGAAACCATTGCGTAGTCATATTTTGTTCAGCATCTATCAAAAATCGAGTTGTTCGATGCAACCGAGCTCAGTCTAATCATGGAAGCATGGCCATAGACCAGATGGTTTGTGAACTTACTGCATCGTATAACACCGAAAATAACTGTCAATTGATTGAATGATTGAACTATTAATGTACCGCTGGTGTCTCGGCTATAAATACAGCGACATGTTCCATCCTGTCCACAAAAAGTGACGTTTTCTCACCGGTGTAAGTATTTTTTTATTAACAGTCACAAATTAAGCATTCTTCGGGAATACATAATTTCCATATTTTTATTCTGACGTCACGAACGTCAGAATAACGGCACCTTTTCTTTCGACGTCTAGGACGTCAAATAATGTTACCTCTTATTTTGACGGAAACAACACGATTCATTTTGGATGCCGCCGACTGCAATTTGAAATGCCGGTCGCTTGGCGTTTGTGTGGTGCGATGCTCCACGGTGTCCGCGCTAATGTGTGTTATCGACGTGCCTCCTGTGTTCGTCGCGCTCTCAGGAACATCAAGGAGCGTTTTACATTCTCAAATTCCGCCCAGTGCCGTCGGTCACTCCTGTTGCGAATGAAGAAGTGCACCGGAGGCGACAGAGCACAGACGAAGTAACTTTGTACCGATCTTTCTGGAGCTGTACCTCTGTGTAACACGACGGATTATCACCCTTCCATAGAATAGCTGCCAAGGCCGTGCAAGCGGAGAGTGAGTAGCCTAAACTGCACGACTGGAGCACCCGCTACAGGCGCGCTCGTGCCATGTCATTTAAAGCACCTAGTTCGCGATTTTAGCACACACGGTACAGTAAATTTAGCTGCCGACTTTCCTTTCATTGTTCAAGTGTCGTGCGTTGCCTTGCGTCTTCGCCTCTGGTGTTGCTCTCGCCGACCTGATGGCTTCTTTGTTATCATCGTTGACTGCGGAGAGCAACTTCAGATGCGAGGCGATCCAAAGGAAGCCTTGGTACGGGAGAGCATAGGCAGGCACCTCTCGTCGGACTCCTACCACGAGTGTGAGCAGCCTGATTATCATCACAGACGATGACCGGCAGAACCTACAAACAAGCAAAGGTGGAACGCCGTGGCGACACATGGCCGAAGAAACCAGCCAGAGACGCCAAACCCAAACAGCCAGTAGCCTATGGTCGACGAGAGCACTACCAGACGCAAAGAGGCGAGGCAGCGCACGACACTTGTAAAAGGGGAGCCGGATGTTGCTGGATGTCGGCAATTAATACGCAACAGAACACGACGAGCACAAACGGCTCGTCGACAACACACACCAGCGCGGATACCGCCGAGCACCCGACCACGCACACGCCGGCCGACCGACGTTTCAATATGCAGTCGGCGGCATCCAAAATAAAACGCTATCATCGAAATAACAGCGAATATACTTTTGACATGTGTGACGTCATTGACCACGCCCCCTGGACTTCTAATTGGTGCCGAAGAAAAGAACACGCCGAAAGAGCAAAATGTTTGCTTTGGATCGTAGATTTTGGATTGCAGAACAGGGTTGCCAAACGCAAGTCTCGAAAAATCACGCGTGATAGCCAAGAAACCGCCAACCGCCTCTCTGTGTGCCTAAATCGGGTCGCTCGCAAACCGCATCGGCTACCGCTTCGCGAACGCGGATCCGCATCAAGTATGAATGCGACATAAGAGTGATAGACGCTCCAAGTGTAAGGCTGTCATGTTGATTGGGGCTGGCCAGCTGTACCTGGGGCTCGGGTGCTGGGCGTTGTTGTACTGACGGAGCTCCAGGTTGCCGGTGACGAAACATGCGATCTAGTGGATTATGGTGGAATGTTTGTAACCGTATCCTTCTAAGAAGGGGGGCTGACTCGTCTTCAAAGTTAGTCCCCATGGGGATGCCAACTGGTTCCATCGTCCAGAAAAACCTGCGATGAAGAAGCGCTTGTTGGATGTGATGCCGATGCGGGAACCCAGGCAGGCCCCGATCGAAAGTTCTTTGCCCAAGCTTGTTCGCCTGGTCGTAGTAGTGGCTGTCGTTGAGCTACCTGATTGTGACGTTCTTTCCGCTGCAGCTGTCTGAAAAGAACTTTGGAATGGACGTCAGGATGCAGTAAGTCGGCTGCAATCTTCGGTCTTCGTGCCATGAGGATTTCGGTAGGTGTGTGTCGAGTAATGTTATGAGGTGTCCTGCGGTACTGCAGGAAGGCACGTGAAATCTTTGTCTGAATGTCTCCCACCAATGAATTCTTGATCATTTTGATTGCCTGGGCAGCTCTTTCTGCGGCACCATTAGATGCATGGTGGTAGGAGCGAATTCTCAATCTCCGAATGCCGTGAATAAGAAACTTGTGGATGCATGCCGGTTGTCTCTGCCAATCATTCAGGCAACCCATGCTTTACAAATGTTTCTCGCAGACAATTCACTCTTGCCTCCACCGAAGGTGTCGGAACGGCCATCGCCTTCAGCCAATTCGAATGACAATTCACGAGGACCAAAAAATAATATCCTTGATGTCCTTGAAATGGCTCTCCAAAATGGACATGAAGGCGAGAACACGGTTTTTCGGGTAAAAGCAAGGTGCTGTTGGCACTGGTTGCAGCGCTCGATAGTTTTCATTGCACACCAAGCAGCTATCGACCTTTAGCTTTATGTCTTCGTCGACTCCAGGCCAACAAACGTGACCTCCTCTGACCATTTTCGTTTTAACTATTCCAATGTTCCCCGCATGAAAAATAACCAGCACGCTTCTTAGCAGCAACCTCTGAGCGACCTCTCTCGGACCCCGTAGTACGCAGCTGCCCTGCATGCTGAGCTATTGCGTCTTTGTTGAGGAAGGTTGCCACTACGGGGTACCAGGACAAGTGGATGCAGCCCATAGAAATTTCCCACACTTCTGACAAGACGGGATCTCGATCCGTGGCTTTTGCAAACACTTCAGGATAAATACATTTGTAGTCATGTTCTAGGAGAAAGACACTGCAGGCTTGGGCACTGTAAATTTTCTAGTTGACAGTGGCAGTTAAATGATGCATTCGCATGGCCCAGGCTCTTTCCGGAACGGTAGTCCAAGTCATAGCTGTAGCTTTCGAGTTTCAATGCCCAACTTTGGATTCTTGGTGAGCACTGAGGGGCAGTTTCCTCCTCATCGCCGAAAATTCCCAGCAATAGCTTGTGGTTTGTGACTGCCTCAAAGTGTGTGTCCCATAAGAATTGATCAAATTAAATTATTCCAACCATCAGGGCAAAGGCTTGTTTGTCAAAGTGGCTATAGTTTTATTCAACCGATATTAACTAGGGATGCCGCGAACTTTTTTCGAATCGAAGTTTCGATGATCGAATCAAGCGGTTCGAAAGGTTCGAAAGATTTCGATTTTTTCGAATTGTTTATATCGTAAAATTCGACGGAGGTCGAATTTTCGAACTTGTAAAGCTAAGAAGTTCGACGCTTTTCGAACCGTCGAACTTATTACGCTAAAAAATTCGATCTTTTTCGAACTTTCGAACTTATTGCGCTCCAAGGTTCGATGCTTGTCGAACTTTCGAACTTGACTGACCAAAAAATTCGATGAATTTCGAACTTTCGAACTTATTTATCAAGAGAATTCGAAAAGTTTCGAACTTTCGAATTCTGAAAAGTCGTAAGTTCGACGAACTTCGAACTTTTAGGGTAAAAGTTCGACGTTCGTCGAACTTCGAAAGACCGGCGGACGGTTTCATTTGATTTCAAGTAGTGGGGTACATTCGTAAATTTTTTTTCTCGAACTTTTACACGCGGTGCTGCGTTCCTTACGAAAGACAATGTCGTTTATTTCAATGTTCTGGCATGCTTAGGTTTAAAGAAATAAATCTTCGAAGGGGCGAGGAAGGACGACGGGTTTTTGACGATTATCGTATGTGCCAGATTTGAAGCACGCTGCAGCCGGAGCTATTTATGGCAGATATGTTATACTTTTTTTAAGAATGATCTATGTATAGTTTAGGTAAGTGCCGTCTTAAGATGTGATTATTGTTATTCAACGTGAGTTTCGAAGAAATGTCCAAACATGTATCTACATGCAATTATGACCTAAACTTGATATTTATTTTCGTCTAAGTTGTTTGAGGTATCGCATTTAAATTAACACCACAGACAGTACATATCATTGCCACCTGCAGAATACAAAATAATATATTTATTGTTTTTTTCACGTTAAGGAATAAATTAACTCATGAGAGAAGATTTCTAGTAGTGTTCAAGTTCAGCACGTCATCAAAAGAAAACTTTTTTTTTTTCGCTTCACGTTCCTGGGACGTGTTTCTTTTAGCCTGTACACATTTTGGTAAAAGAAACTTGTTTCGAAGTTCTGAACCTCTGAATATGCAAGAATAGAACACTTCCGACGAATTCTTGATGGTTTTTTTTTTTTTTCTCCTGCTTTTTATTCCCGCATTTATTCTTTTTTTTTTCTTTTGTTACTATCGGCACAGGTGTTTAGGTCGAAAAGACAGCTTTGAACTTCCGAACCACTAAGCATGCGACGAGCAGTGCCTTCTGACAACGAGTTTCTAATGCATCTACGCAACCTTTTATGCAGTGAAGAGCGACGTTAGCTATACATATGCATAAATAATTTCAGATTAAAACAAGCTCGACCACGCCCTCTTTCCCCGTTTTGTTTTCTTTAACAGTCCGAAATACCTGCAAGGGGGAGAAGGAGGCTGAAGCCAAGCCCCCCCCCCCCCCCCCCCCGCTCCCCTCTTTCCCCCCGTTCTTCCTCTTCCGACGTCACTTGTATGGTAGAACGCTCCTCGACCTCGAGTTGTGTCGGCTTTTGTGCTTTTTGCGAGGCGATTCCTCCGTCCCAGAAAATAAACCTCCAGGACAATTATAAACTTCACCGGATCGGATTACTACCAGCGTGCAAGGGGTGGCGAGCTAGTTTGCCAGGTCGCTTCAAGGTTTTTCTGAGCCTCAACCTCCTGCTCGCCCCTGGCCGTTTCGAACTGGAAGAGTCTCGTAAAACAGTGTGTTCGTGCAATCACTACTGCGTGATGCAGGTTAAAGACCCCCCTCGCCCCCCCCCCCCCCCCCCCCTCGGGGCTGGCGCTCAGACTTCTGCACTGGCAAATATTCTAGCACGTCCGGGACACTCGTCGTCTCATTTAATTGCCTGACCAACTTCGCAGAATCTAGATATCACACCCTAACTTTTCAAAACTTGATTTTGTGAAAACCAGTGAGTCAAGAAAACGTTATTTGAAACTGAAACTGTGGAAAAACTTGAAAATCGGACTTCGAAATTTGAAAACTTGGATTAGAAAGAAATCCAAAATCTTCAAACATTTTTTTTAAATTTAGCGTTAAAAGAGTATCGAAACCTTCGAACTTTTCGAACTTTATGCAAAAGGAAATTCGAAATCTTCGAATTGTTCGAACTTCATGTCTATAAAAATTCGAAGCGTTCGAGGTTTTCGAATTTTTTTTTTTTAAAGAATTTCGAAATCTTTGAATTTATCGAACCTGAAGTAAAAAAAATATTCGAAATATTCGAATTCGAAATTTTAGAAACCGTGAAAGCTTCGAAATTTTCGAATTCGAAACTCCGCTGTGGACAAAAGTTGCGAATTTTTCGAAATCGAACCTTAGTCGGTACGAAAATATCGAAATTTTTCGAAATCGGACCTCAGTTCGCTTCGCAAATATCGAAACCTTTCGAAATCGAACCTAGGGTGGTTCGCGACATCCCTAATATTAACCGGCGTCATGCGAATGCAATGAGCTTCTTCTTGCCCATTGATTTCCTATGTGTCAACACAGCTCCCATTCTGTAAGGCGAAGCATTGCAGCGTAACGCGAGGAACTTTGTGGAGTCGTAATGCACGAGGACACCTGCAGAAGTCAGCAGTCCTTGGTTTGCTGGAAAGCAGACTCTTCCTCTTTGGACCACTTTCAACCTGCTCCTTTTCCAAGCAGACGATTCAAAGGCTGCAGGACGCTTAATACGTTGGGCAGAAATCTTCTATAAAAGTTAATGAGGCCCAAGAAGCACTGTAGCTCATTAGTGTCTTGTAGGCTTGGTGCCTTCACGATTGCTTCTACCTTTCTCTGGGAAGGGTGAAAACCGGTCTGCTCGATCAAGTGCCTTAAGTGCTCTACTTTTGAAAAGGAAAACTCACACTTTTAAGACATCAACTTCAGGCCTGATTCTGCCAGTCGTTGTAGTACCTTTTCGAGGTTTCTGGCGTTGTCAAAGTCATCCCCTCCACTATCAATGTGTCCTCAAAGTAGACGACCACGAGCTTTATGTCGCAAAGCAGATTTTCCCTTTTTCGTTGGAAAATTGCAGGCGCCGTTGATACACCAAATGTTAGCCTGGTGTACTCGAGTAATCCTTTATGCGTGTATTGTCACATATTTTCTTAGTGCTAGAGATAATATAACCTGCTGGTATGCAACTTTGCGATCAAGTTGACTGAACTTGACGTTTCCGGACAGGTTCATCCACAGCTCCTCGACTCTCGGAATCGGGCACGACAGTGCACTGGACGCTGCAATTAGGGTAACCTTGAAACCTCCGGAAATTCGCAGCCGACCGTCTTTCTTGAGTAGCGGTCCAATCGGTGCCGCCCAGACTGACGTCTTGCTGCATAATTTTTCCCGGTCAGGCCGTTGAAACTGCTGAGCCACCAGATCTTACTGTGCGAAGGAGATTGGTTGCAGTCTAAAGAAGCGTGGTTGTAATCCACCTGGGACGCCAATCTTGGCTTCCACTTTCTTGAACAGCTTCAGTCCCTTGGAGAATACACCTGGGAACATGCGAAGGAAAACCTCCACAGTGTTGTTGTGTATGTTGACGATGTCAGGAACTGAAAGTTTCAAAGCATGAACCCAATTTCGTGCTAGCAGAGTCTGGGAGGTTCCACTCACAACGACCAAAATAAAGGAGGGAGAGCGCCACGATTTTTGTTACCTTACGGTTACCTCGGCACATCATTGAACAAGCGGGATTATCCTCTCAGGACGATATTGAAGAGAATAACATGCACTTCTGAAAATGTCGCTGGGAAGTGTCTTTCATTTATTACGGAGACGCCGGCCCCAGTGCCCGGCTCCATGTCGATGGATTGGTGTTGAGCAATGACAGTTAAGATACGTGGTGGAAGACGTGCCGCTTTCAAGTGCTTCATGTTGTACGTGGGCTGGTCATCGGCACTATCCTGATTGTGGGGGTCATCCGGGCTGTCAACTGGAACTGCCAAGGCAGCTTTCATTGGCCTTTCCCCTGGTGAATCCCGGGAGCCCTACGAAGCTTTCCTGCCTCTGTTTACGTCACTTGGCTCGTCACATGGTCTTGCTGTACAGACTGCAGCAAAGACGCCAATTTTCTTGAGTTGTGGCATGTCATATTAGCATAACGACACGCAGGTCGAACTATGTGTTTTCTTCACGCAGTGGAAGCATCCTGGCTTGGGAGCCTGCGCTGACAGGCGGTTTGCCTCGACAGCTGATGTCGTTCAAGCTTGATTGTTAGTTTGTTGGGAGTCTGCTCTGGCGGCTTCTATGGCTAGGACAACCTTGATCGCTTTATCAAAAGTCAGTCATACATCCTCTAGAAGGCGGGTCTGCATCATGTCATAAATGATTCCGCAGACTAGCCGTTGTCGAAGCATGTCGTTGTGCACAGTACTGAGGTCGGAGGAGTCTTAACTACCGAATTGACGCGGTGAAGTCGCTCACAGACTCTCCCTGCGGACGACCTCTCCAGAAAAACTCGAGGTGCTCAATGAATATGGAGGGCTTAGGAGCGTAATGTCCATTCAGAACCTAAAAATGGCGGGGATGTCAACCTCCCATGGTCTCTACGGGGCCAGGAGATTACTAAAAGGTCAGTACGTTCGTTTTCCACAGTTTGACAAAAATACTGCTCTTTTTTTAGAGCGCAGCTCTTAGGGGCCCGTTTCCAGCCTGAGCGGCGTCGGCGTCGGCGTCGCCGTCGGCGTAACCAGGGGGGGGGTCACGTGACCCCCCCCCGAGGTCAAGTGACCCCCCCTCCCCCGAGATCACGTGACCCCCCGGGGTCACATGACCACCCTCAGGTGACGTGATCCCCCTCAGTACCCTCCCTACTCGTCCTCAAGAGCTGCGCTCCAATTTGGCGTTACAGGGATTTGTAAACGGCTTTCATTTTTTTTGCTCCCGTGATATCATTAGCGATAAAGTACTGTCTCGGTACCTCCCCATACTCACCCTGTTCTTTGCTCTCTCCGAGAAACGGTTCGAGCTTGGGCATAGCGCGACTGCAGAAGATCAAGAAAACGCTTGCCTTACCAAGAACTCTTGTGATTCTCGGCCCTAGTCCACGACTTTGATGGCGTAGATTGTTTAATTTACCACGTCACCAATGCGATAGATTCAGGAAATATCAGCAAAAGGAGACCAAACTCAAGTGCGTTCAGCTGGAGACCGGTGCGTGCCGCAATACTTAATAGGCACAATCACTGATTGCTCAAAGGTTACGAAAAAGCGGTTAAAGTTTTCCGTAATGTTCGAAATATTACCTAAAAAAATTAGCTATCACGTCATCAAGAGAACTTTGGTCTTTATAGCCTTGAATCCCGTTTACGAGAGGCCAGGATTGTGCGATGGAAGAACGATTTTCCGAGAACCTTTTGCCGTTTACCCTGTTACTAGCCGCACGAAACTCTGCTCGTAGTTTAGCACTCTCAGGCGGTCGCTTACAACGGAACCAAACCCTTCCTTTATCTGAGCTTCCAGAGAAAATATGAGGGCTCAACCAAGCGCGATCTGACCTTCGCCTTTTAACCACGTCATTACACTGTGCCTTAGCCTTAAATCAATCGTGAGAATTTGGAATAAATTAGAATGTATTTGGAATAAACATCAGAACAAGACACATATTGGAGAAACGAGGTGCATTATAATGCTAGTTTTGATGAAAAATCGCCGGTCTTGCGTCCGTCAGCGCCGGGGAAATATGAAGAGGGAGGGGGAGAGGGTGACGCGTGGGAAGCGCCTATTGGTCCTAAGCGGTGAGGTCAACGCGCGTTAACCTCCCCCTCTCTCCCAGGTGCTGTCGTACTGACAGGCATCACCGTGTTTTCTTCAATACAAACCCTTTTGTTTGCGCCAGTCACACGCACAGCTGGCACGAAGACAGATTTCTTAAAATCTCAAAATTTCTTAAAACGAGAGGACACAGTGGCGACATCTATCGGGTTGCAGCGTAAACTTGTCGGTCCGGCATATTTTCTATTTCTCTCGCGGATTGTCTTTTCTTTCTTGGCTCGAAAACCTTTTGTCAACGTTGTAAACGAGCTTTTCTTACAGGTATTATGCACATTTGACCTCGAAAATCCCGCAAAACCTTCGCTCTTGTGAAATGCAGTTCCAGGGTCACCGCATAGATGGCGCCAGAATGCCAGTGTATTCCCTCGCCCTAAGAAATTTTAAGTTTTACCATTTCTCGTCTCTCTCGGTCGTACTCGGTTGCAAGAATGTGAACGGGCCTTAATTCCCCAGCTTAATTAAGCAGAAAAAATGAAGTGACGCATGTGTCACGTGGCGTCCAGTCACGTGACTTCATATTCATTTTCTTGCTAAATTTGACAGGGATATTTGGTTTGGCGTATAGGTCACATGAACCTGAACTTTCTCGCTATACTTAGAGATGAAGCTGGAGGTATCCTGACGACAATTTTCTACCAGATTTTAGCGTGAAGACTGAATAGGTGTATGGGTCACGTTTTTCAATTTTCTCGCAATATTTACAATGAAAGATGGAAATCTCGTAGCATCAAATTCCTCGCAAAGTTTAGCGCGAAGACTGAAAAGGAGTATATATGACGTGACGTAATTTTTTCCGCTAATTTTTGCAGGAAATGCACGATCGAACGGACGCTTGGGAGGCACAAAATTTTGGATTTGGATATTCCGCTAAAAACCATTTGATGCTTTAAAAAAAAGAAGAACAAGCGAAAACAGCCATTATTTTTATTCAAAGAAAATAAAAAAGCATAGAAAAGCGTACTTTTTATATGAACGATGCCTCGTATTGCTAAGGTGTCTGAAGCGACAAGGCTGAAGTTAAAACGGCACAGCTTGAAGCTGAAAAAGACGAACAACCAGCTGGAGAAAGTTCAAGAGCACTCACGCATGAAGAGCCGCAGAGTCTTTCTGTGCCATAATTATAACAATAATGTAGTAGTGACACTCAGTGTAATCAAGGTAGTTGTAAAATAGTGTGTCAAATTAGGTAAATAATTGATATTAGGTATAAAATTTTCTCCCTGAACAGTTAGGATGCTTAAGATGACATCGTTTGCTTTGGATCCCAAGATTAAAAAAAAAATACATAAAAAATTTGTATCTAAGTCTAGATAAAAAAGCATTGACACAAATAATACAGCCGATAGCTCTCCTTCATTGTCCAACTGAGAACCACGAACGAAACCCGTCTAGCAGAAGCTGACAAAATGAAAAGAGAAGTCGTCTTTGATGAACTGAACTGTGCGTCATTAGGCTTAGATTTACAAATACAATCTTAGTGTTTGTAGGCAACACGTCAGGATGAAAAAATATATGTTCACTCTTCTGTTATATGCGTTCATTTTCGCGAACTCTAGTGTCTCTTGGTTACTTTTTTATTTTTGTTTCAAACTAAGCTGAATGTGAGTAAGCCTCATAATGACATCATTTGTTTTCGAAGATGTACATTAAAATCACCTTCACACCTGAAGAAAGCATAGGTTTTAAATTTCACCTGTCGAAATGAGTTATGTCTTTGGTTTTGCAGCGTCCCGCCCATCTTTCCAGCCTTCTTTTGCCAGCTCAAAATTTCGGTTCAGCAACCCTTTGACGAAACATATTTGGGCAAGAGGGGTTTTACGATAAAATCATAGATTTGTCAATCGGCGAAATGAATAGAATGCAGTTGAATGGGATCCGGAGGTCGGTGGCTTTGAAAATTCTATTTTATGGCTTGGTTGCTCATGTTTTCTACAACGTATGTTCCTTGTCTCACACATTTTTCGCCATATATATTTCGACGTCGCGTCCAATAAATTTTTATCAAATTTTAATTTTTTTGTGGGGCGCCCATTAGAAGCGCTTGTTTTAGCTCCGGGTACAAGAGTTCGTTGAAGCAGACAAAGAACGTGTAGCGTGGCCTACAGCAGAGGCTGAGAACCTTCTCATCCCAATTTCTCAATTAAAACGTTTCTTCTTGAACAATGAGTAAATTGTGAAATTATAACCGGGTATCACATTGAACTGCAAGGGAATACCATATGATATATTTAACGGTTGATGTGGGTGTTTCGCTTCCCCATACACTTGCTAATTTTCTGCATACTGCGGACCTATTTTTACTTTGTGCTCAAGGAACAATTTGAACCTCAATACCCTGACCGATGAAGGCGACGAGACAGTGAATAATGAACTGAATTAAATGTTTAACGCGGCGAACTTGGGCCCAAATATAAACGAACAACCTAAAGGGGTAGATGAAGATAACTACAGGGCGTCGCGAGTGTCGGGGTCGGCGGAAACGTAGACTCGAGCGCTTGCGAAAGGGTGCGTCGTCGTCGGGAGATTGAGTCTTCACAGCCATGGTCAGCTCTTTATTTACTACACTCGATGTCTCGAATATTCAACCTAGAATAAACAGGAATGAGCAAGGACGAGACTGGGGAGGCAATATCATTCTGGCATCTTTATCTTTTACACTCGGGGTAAGTGTAAACACGAATCTCCTAGAGATATGAAGAATCGTTTCTTCTCGGTGATTCACGCGGCATAACTCTCCCCTTTTAAAGTCCCTCGCTTCGATGTAACCTTAAATTAATTAACACAAGACTAAGCCACGTAACTGCAAAGACTAAACTGGGGGGTCGTCTGTACCATAAATAGTCATTAGTCCCATCGAGCATAGTACGGCTTGAGATGAACGACGTACACTACTTTGGGGTCGCAACTGTCGGCGTCCTGGTGGTGGTGTTCCGTCGGGAAGCACCTCTTAGTTCATGTGCCTAAGGCGACGAAAAACCTCGCAGGGCCATCACACAGCGTCATAGAGAGCTTCCCCCTCAAAACAGAATAGTATGCTCCGGTACCGATGAGTGCCGTCGCGTCCTGACCGTCGATAGACGTTATTTGACACCGTCGCAGAAGCGTCGTTCCGATGTGTATCATTGCTAGTTTGGCAGTCGTCAGACATCTTGGGGGATGTTCGCTTCGGTCATCTCCCGCAATTTTGTCTCCAGGGGCTGCCGAAGTTAGTTTTACCGGCAGGGCTAAGGGGGAAGGCTTTTTCGACGACACCTACGTAGAGGAGAGGCCAGGGGTCGTCGTTTGGGTGAGCGAGATCCTTGGAGCGAAACTGGTACCAAAGACGACGAAAGAAGAACGTACTCTTTAATAAGTTGCATGTGCTCCCCGTAGCGTGGGCGTGGGTCGTTGATTTGGAATCCGCGCGGCCCGACCATCGGTAGGGGCATCGGCGGTAGGTATGCTCGGCTTCCCAGCAGTAGTGTATAACACAACAGGCGTCGGTCGGCTGTCCTCTACACGTCAGTCTTCCTGGGTGCAGGTCGTTCTGAGAGGACGTACTAGGCCCGTTCTTTGTAACGTCGGGAGTACTGCAGTGCTGGAGGCTCATGGCGTGGAGGCGCCACATACAGGCATGAAGGTGGCGGTGCTCGGCGGTCTATTGCGGTGTAGGTCAGCGTCTGTTCCTCGGGCAGAAGCCTGCGACTTGAAGGTTCGATGCACTTCTCGAACGACATCGGCGATCGATACCGAGGCCGAGGCCGGGCGTTCGGCAGGAGGGAGCAGCTTCTGGTGCTCGTCTCCCACGACGTCGCGAATAATCTCGGGGATTATGGAGTGCTGGTGCCGATGTCTCAGACGGACGGCACGGGGCCAGCGATGCCGGGAAGTCTCTGGTAGTGACTGGCTCTCCCAAGGAGGGCGCGTTTGAGGTTCGTCGCCGCCGTCACGAAATCTCGATGGTCACAAATGGATTGCGCACAAGGTCTCCAAAGATGTCGTCCTTTACGTCGCGCATGAGAAACTTAAAGTTTTTTCCCTCTGTCGCGTGAGGGTCGTCGCGTGCCCTTAGGCGTAGGACGCCTTCAACGTAGCTGGTGACGCTCTCGTTGGGGCCTTGCGTCCTCGTTCGAAAGAGGTCTTCGAGTCCCTTCCGTCAGTGCTCACTGCGAACATCCGTCGAAGCTCTTCTTTCAGCTTGTCACATGACGTAATCGAGGTTTA